GAACCTGACTATATGTTTTTCAGCCCTGTTTATTTTTCAATAAGAGTGAATTTGTTTTTTTTGAAAAGATTGGGTAGACATCTCTCAAGAATATAATTTTTTTTCATCCGTGAAAGAAAAAATAAAGCATTATACGTGTGGTGTCACATCAGTCTACATTTTCTCTTTGTGATCTAAACAGGACTCTTTAGGATATTGACAGTGGGTAACCAAACCTAATAGACCAAGTTCGAAATGTTCATTTTTGGGGATTCTGGATTTTTATTTATTTGTCTAACTTTGAATGACCTATTTTCATATTACAACAGTACTTTAGTTTTCTTGGGATTTAAATGTCCTAGTTTCAAAACACAGTTTCAATGCCTTTTACTTTTGTTTTTACGTTTGCAAACACAGCATCCTAATCATAACATGGAATATTTTCTTGATAATACTATAAATGATTATTGAATTGGCTGATTCAAAATTGAGCTTATTCTCTGCTAACTCCACCTACCTTGGAATTTGCTTTTATGATTAAAGTCCTTCTGTCCGTGTACTTTCTCAATGTTTGCTTCTTTCTCATTAAACACTAAGATGGAAAGTGGGACATGGCCCCTATTTTGCAAAAATTTTGAATAAATCATCACAAGTTTTTCCTTGACTTTAATAAAACAATCATTTTCATTGTCTTTTGTCAAATTTAATTTGTAAAAGTGTATTAAAAACTAGTTTATGAAAAGCTTATTTAAAGTATTTATTGAAAACATAATTATAGCACCACTGTCTTCTTGAAGGTTTTCTAACCATCTCTGTTCTCTCCTTGGCTTATCTTCTTGCCCTAGAAAATGAGCACTTGCTCAGCTTTCTTAGGGAACTGATGGTTTGTTGTGATTGGAGCAAGAACCAAGTGATAAAGAATGTTATAGGCTTTGTGTGGATATTCTCTAAGAGGCAGCAAAAGACAGACCAAGACCAAGTCCCTGGTCTCATTTACATGGTGATGAGAGAAGGTAGACAATGAACCTGTGGGGTAGAGGAAAGAATTTAAAATACTAAATGCTACGAAGGAAATAAAATAGTGACTGTAGAGTCGCTATGGGCATGGGGGTGGCTGCTGGGGTAATTTTAGCTACGGCAGTTAGAATAGACCTCTTTGAGGAAGTAAAATTGAGCTAAGACCTGAGTGATGAGAAAAGGATAACTTAATGAAGACCTACGCAAAGAACATTCCAAGTAGAAGGAACTTAACAACTGCAAAGCCTGGGAACAGACTTGGAAAGTTTAAGGACCAAAAGGTTGCCCAGTGTAAAAACAGAGGGTGAGATACTCGGGATTACGTTCTTATCAGCTGAGGTACAATTTATTTTATTTACCTTATTTTTTTTAGTTGCAGTGGGAAATCGCTGAACAGTTTAAGCAAGTAGGTGATATGATCTGGTTTTATGCTTAAAAAAACTTTAAAAAGTGGAGGAGGGAGACTGGGGTGGAGGCAAGGAAACTAGTTGAGAGACTGTTGTAGTAGTACCAGTGGAAAGACAATAGGGGCTCAGATTTCCTTGAAATTGTGGGAAATGGTTACATGTAGGTTCTGTTTTGGATGTAGAGTTGACAGAATTTGTTGACAGATTAGATGTGAAATTTGAAGGAAGGGGAATCGAGAATAACTCCTGGATTTTTGACCTCAGAAGCTAGGTCGGTGTTAAAAATAGGTCCCAAATTTCTTTTGTAGGTTTGGTAGGTGTTTGTGCAGTAGATTCTGAAGGAGACATGGCATTTGTGCTTGTGATGAGTTTAGTTAGCTGAAGGCTCTCCATGTTTTTCTCAAAAATATAAGTTATAGTCTAAAAGAAATAAGGGCAGACTTTATTATATGTGTTGTTGGAAAAATGAAGCATTTTAGAGCTAGTTTAAGTATTTCCTTTTACGTATATGATTCTTTTTTCATTTCTTAGAAGAGTTTTTAACAAAGTTAGCAACTCTGGTTTGTATATTTTAACTGGGATTATCCAGAACCCTCAAATACTTCAAGGGCCTAGGATCTTGCTCTGAGCTCTACTTTGCCTTTTATCTATCTAGACCAGGTAGCTGGCTGAGCTGCCTGCCAATTTGGGGACACACTCATGGCAGTGCTTGGTTTGTTGGGGATACTGTGCTGCTTATCAGGCCCTAAGGTAGGGAAGACCATAACCATATCTTACCTCCCCTGATTGCCCCAGTCTTGTGAATTCCTGGGATTATCTAGGGGCAGAGTGTTGGAATCTTATCACTGAGCAGATAGAAAGTCTTTGATCTCTACTCTGTTGATATTTCAGTGACTGTAAAGAAAAATGTCGAGATGGTACTTTGTTTTATAAAAAGTATATATCAAACTGAATATTTATTCACTTCACAAATGAAAGAATTTCCACAATTTTGAGATTGTATTAGTGTTTTAAAATTGAACTTTCTGGGTCAAATTTTACAGTTGAATGTTTTTTCTCAGTCTTTACCTAGTTCTTTATTTTTCTTCTGACAGAAACTAAGCATTTGGAAATATTTGGAAAAGCTATTAATTAGCATACGTTATATATTTTTGCTATACATTTAGAAGTATGTTTCATCTAGTTTTGTTTAATCATTTTTGAAAATTTGCTAAATATTTTCACTTCTGAATTTGATAAGTTAATAAAAAATTAAACTAGTCTAATTTTAACTGCTGAAGGTGACTGTCTTCCAGATGTTGCCTAGAACTTGATATATAGTGTATAAAATAATAATCTTTTATTTAAATATTCCTTTTTCAATAAAATTTAGTAACTTTAATTTGTGTAATTTCTCCACATAATAAAAAACAAATAATGCTTTTATTTTTTTAAATATATTTAAAAATATTTCTAAACATAAAAAGATTAAAAATTATTTACAGCTAGATTTATATTAATTTAAACATTTTCTTGAGACTGTAGATATCTAGTTGTACTTTAGTAACAAGACCATAGGTCTCATATGCTTATAGAACCTTGGAATGTTTTAGAAAACTGGTCATCCTAATTTTCACAGACTTTTTTCTCCCACCCAGCTAATTCACGTATGTCACCTAAAGTTGTGGGGCCATATATGTTAAGGTGTCTGCCCTATGCCCAGCATTGTTCTGGGCTTTGTATGTGGGGTTCATAATAAAGAATGGTCTCTGGGGTCTTGTGACTTTCTGGGAAGATAGAAAACATAAAATAGAGAGTTCAATACAGTGGTAAGTATGATATAAATTTAAGACTGTGAAAATCTATTGTAAGTAGAGATCAGATTTTATGGAAATGAGTCTTTCACTGTCTTGAAGGAGGTATAGGATTTGAATGAGAGAAAGAAAAGGAACTTCAAGTTTAAAAGGAGTTAAGACATAAAGAGGTGAACATATTTTTAAAGAATAATTAAGTCCAGCTTAGTTAGAATATCTAAGAGTTTAAAAGATCTCACTAATGTGAAGATAAGTGATGTCAGTAAAGAAATAAAAATCATTAAGAAAAGTAATTATGGGGGCCGGCCCAGTGGCGTAGTGGTTAAGTGCGAGCGCTCCGCTGTTCGGATCCCCGGCGCACACCGACGCACTGCTTGTCAGGCCATGCTGTGGCGGTGTCCCATGTAAAGTGGAGGAAGATGGGCACAGATGTTAGCCCAGGGCCAGTCTTCCTCAGCAAAAAGAGGAGGATTGGCAGATGTTAGCTCAGGGCTGGGCTTCCTCACAAAAAAAAAAAAAGAAAGAAAAGGTAATTATGTCAGAAGAATTTAATCCTAATTTGTTATTGAAAATATACATCTTAGACTATGCTCCTTATTTTCACAATGTATACCAAGGGTCAATTAGCCTTTTTTCCTGGGTTTGGCACACTGTTAACTATAATCCTATCTGTGGTAATACTGTGATGCCCAGATCCATGGCTTATAGTACAAGTGTTTAAATTATTTGGAGAAGTTTGGCAGCAGAGCAGATCAGACTGTTGAGGTCTTACACTACCAGGAACTGCAGACCTCCAGTTGGCAAGAGGGAATTGCTTTATAAATTATATGCTCCTTTTCCTTCTTCCCAAAACTGGTCCAGGTCCACACCAACCTCAGGTAAATGGGTTTGGAATACAGCCTTCCTGGGAAATTTCCTGTAATATAGCCTTTGAGTCCTTGTGTTTTAGAGGATATCTGGAAAGAAAGAGAGGTTTAAAACTGTAGACCTACTTATCACCCTGAAGTACACCCTAACCACAAATCAGTCAAAGAGCCACCTCTAACTTCTTAGAATCCTTTTTATTCATGTGAATCAGCTAGAACATGATCATTCTCTGAGGACTGAAAACACTTTGCCAGAGAATTTGTACTGTGATGGTCAAACTTGTCCTTAATACAATTTACTAGATAATCTCTTCTATGGCAAATAAAGAGGTAGCAGTATGTATATGTCCTCTTTGTTAGAAGGTGACAAAGGAATCATCTGATAAAGTATACCTGTTGCTAGTGGTTTTTGCAGCTTAGACCTCAACTACTACAGTCTACATTTCTATACTTTATATTCACATACTAAAGTGGGTTGAAATCAATTAAATGTTGCCAAAGATATGCCCAGTTGAAAACTTTTGTTAGGGTGGTTGCAATTTGAACTACATCTTGCTACACATTAATAATTTGCCAGATTTGGTCAAAATCAACTCCCTTTAAATCAGTTAATCCCTTCAAAAGTTATTATGGAAAGGAAAACAGTACTGAACAGTATAGTTGATAAAGACCTTTCTTTGATTAAATTACGGTTAAAACCAGCCAACTCCTTTTTATTTTTATATGTTAAGGGCATTTTTCAGTTAATCACGCTCTCACATGTATTTTATGATCATATATTAGATGTCATAGCATGTCTGTGTTTAGTTAGGCAGATGAAAGTGGTTTTTTAGTTAGGATTGTAGGATCACTTTGATTAGCCAAAATAATATTTTCCAAGAAGATCTCTCTTATTCTAACAGGTACTAACTCTAAAGAGTATTTTCTGTGTTTTTTAGTCGGCCATATACTAACAAGGTCATCACTTTATGGTACCGTCCGCCTGAACTGCTGTTGGGAGAAGAACGATATACACCAGCTATTGATGTATGGAGCTGTGGGTAAGATAGGCTTATTGACTGGTTTAATTTACTTGAAACTTTTGTTAGTGAAGTAAAATCATATCATTTAGTAATGATGGGTATTTTTTCCGTTAGATGTATCCTTGGTGAACTCTTCACTAAAAAACCTATATTTCAAGCAAATCAGGAACTTGCACAACTAGAATTAATAAGGTAAGCTTATGATTGTAGTATTTGCTGGGCAAGGGGTAGTTGGTCTATGTCATACTCCACAGGAAATTTAAAATATTTTGAGCTTGTGTTTTCAGGAGAACAGCATGTTTCTCTTGAAGGCTAGTGATTGCTGAATGGAGGAGAAACTAGAATGCAGGCACTTTGGTACTTGATCTAGTAGAATTAAGGATCTTCAAGTCCCTAGATCTTTTGTGATTAAATCAAAGGGCTTGAGACCCAAAAGGTAAGACTGAGAAAGAAGAGTAAATACAGAGGAAGAGAGAATGAATGGTAGATAGTTTTTTTTTTAAGTGTGGAAGAATAGAAGAATTAATATCTTGGGATTTTGAAAAGAAATACTCTATTTTATTTACATATATGCATACACTTTTTAAAATTATTTTACTGGGGTCACATTGGCTCACAGCTATGCATACATGTTTATATGTATCTAGATATGTATGTTTACACAACGAAATATATGCACATACCCACTAGCATGGGTCTTCATTATTTGGAGCCTATCATAGGACCTAGGTCATGAGGAGTTATTCATACATGTTAGTCACCTTTCTCTTCATCTAATGTTTTAAAATAAATTTGTTTTTTTTTTTTAAAAAGAGCTCTGGTTTTCATATAATAATGTTAATTTGCAACTTGTAAGATTTGCATGAGTGTTTCAAAATATGGATGAGAGCTTTTAGGAAAGATATTGGTATGAGGCACGGATACCAATGTAATATGAACCTTACTCGATTAATTGATGCTCTCCACTGCTTCGGTAAATAATACTAGCTTGATAACGTGGCAAGCTGAGTGTTGGTAGCCAGTAGACTGCTGCTCTCTAGTAAGACTATGTATTTATCCCCTCAGTTGAAGAGTAGGATGACCAAGAGGTAGTTGTTTACAATTTTTTATGCTAATTTTTTATTATTTCATATGTTGTTTAATTAAATATAGACATATGCATGCTTTGCAAAGACTTAACAAAGGTGCTTTCAAATTAGGGGTGGGAAAGTAACGATAAGAAAGAAAAGTCATAAAAATTTACAATTTAGCCCTCAAATTGCTTTAAATCCTTGATGATATGTTATGGATGTGGTTTGTGCAAGAAGTCATTCTCTGTTCAAAAAAAAGGCCTTGGCCCTGTGTCAGAAGATTGGAGAATAAATGTACATTTATAAATTTTCAGTAAAAATAAAATGTTTAAATTATGTATCTGTGTATCTTTTTTTTTTAATGATACCCTCTAAACCATTTTTTCAGTTAACCAACTGTTGGTCTTGACTAGATTGGATACTAGGGTTTCTATCAATGATAAGTTAGCATTTATTGAGTTTATACCTGATGTAAGCATTGTTCTAAGAATTTCACCTGAATTAACTTCATAATTAGGTTAAGCTTCATAAAACCCTGTGTCTTCTTTTTATAGTGAAGAAAACTGAAAGGTAAAGAATTTGTCCAGGATCATACAACTAGCAAGTGGCAAAATCAAGATTTAAATCTAGACAGTTTTACCTTAGTATCTAAACTTTAACCAATTCTCAGTACTGTGTAGGAAATAAAACTTCCTGGAACTTTTTACGAAGTCACTATGACACAAACACCAGTTATTGACAGAGATAGCATGAAAACTTTCCACAGAATATTAATCCAAAAATTCTAAAGGAGAGATTAGCCAACAATATCTAGCTTTGCGTTAAAAATTTAACTTGCAGAGTCAAGTAATGTTCATCCCAAAAATACAATTATGTTTCAGTTTTAGGAAATATATTATTATAATTTATCATTTTAATAGAAGTAAAATAATGTTTATCTTGATAGGTGTTAAATAGGCATTGCTAGAAATATAAACTCCTAGCTAAATAAGTGTAGAAGGATATTTCTTTAACTTCATAAAAACGTGTATCACGGGGCCGGACCAGTGGTGCAAGCGGTTAAGTGCGCGTGCTCCGCTGCGGTGGCCCGGGGTTCGCCAGTTCGGGGCTTGCGCGCGCACTGATGCTCCGATGCACCGCTTGTTAAGCCATGCTGTGGCGGCGTCCCATATAAAGTAGAGGAAGATGGGCACAGATCTTAGCCCAGGGCCAGTCTTCCTCAGCAAAAAAGAGAAGGATTGGCCTTGGATGTTAGCTCAGGGCTGGTCCTCCTCACCAAAAGGAAAAAAAAATATATGTATCACAATCTAACAGCCTGAATAATATTTAGTGGTGGAATACTAGAAGAAATAAAGACAAGAATGAGAAAAAATTGTCTTCTAGTATCATTATTTAAGAGTATTTTAGAAGTACCAACCAGTTAACTAGTAGTGTTAGAAGAGTGAACCAGTAAGAGGTATAAATAGTGGAAAGATGAAGGCAGTATTATCATAATTCGTATATGATAACATTGCATACATGCATGCAACATACAAGGGAATCACCTGAGACACCTTAAATAAAAAGTTTGGTGAAATGATAAGTATTAAGGAAATGTATTGTGTGTATATACTCACACACACATATGCATATGTATATACTCACACAATATACTAATATACATTATGTACTAATACATATATACTAAAAGCAATAGCTTTTTAAAATATGAACCATTAATAACTAGTTAGCAACATAGGAGGGAGAAAAGATGCCTTTACAAAAACCACCACTATTGACTGACAAATAATAATGTACAACTGGAATCTCACAATGTTATAAACTATTATGACATCAAAAAAAATTAAAACCCAAAAAACAACCACTATATATACCCCAGGAATATTGAAAACTGTAATGTCTCACTTAAAATTGTAAAGAAGATTTGAATAACTGTTGGAGAGGCATATCTCGTTTTTGGCTATTGGAAACCTTAATTTTTTTTAGATGGTAATTCATCCTTTATTAATCATTATAGTCCTAATGAGACTTTTCAAAAGACATTTTTTGAAATGGTGATTGATTTTAATGTTTATCTGGAGGGATAAACATGAAAATAACCAGGAAAATTCTTAAAAAGAGGGAAAATTTGGCATATGTTAAAACAAAATTATAGTAACTAAAACCATTTTGTACTGGCACAAGATACATAGATGAATCAGTGGAATTACATGGGAAGTCCAGAAATAAAGCAAGTTTATATGGACCCTAGAATATAATACAGAAGACACTTCAAATCAGGGGGATTAACTGAGCAGTATTTATTGACTGCTGGTTGTGTGCCAGTTACTAGGTAGTGAGGATACAATGGTGAGTAGGAGTTGTATCCCCAGTGCCTAGCAACTAGCACTCAACTTTTTCTACTTTCTAGTTGGGGTAGACAGACAAAACAAACAAATTAATAAACAAAATATATCAGGTGGTGATATGTGCATGGGGATAGAAAATGATAGGAGGTAGTATTGTTTATAGAGTCAGGGAAGGTCTCTCCCATAAGGTTATCATTTGAGCAAAGATCTGAATGAAGTGAGGAAACAAACAGCAAAGTAGAAAGATCCTGAGGCATGAGTGTCCTTGGGTTACTTATGAACATGTTAAGTCAGTTAATGAACCATATGGGAAAAGAGAGAAAGCTCAGGCCATCCACGTAGAGGCATAGTGTAAAGTTATTAAAAAGGAAATTGTCGATCTGGAGATATTGATGTGAAAAAGCAACATAGTTACATGAAAAAAGCAGTTTTTTCAAGAGAAGGCTATGTTTGGTTTGATCCGATTTAGGTAAAACAGACACATGAAAAGAGTCTGAAATTATTAATCTGAACGTGGACTTGTGAGAGGGCTAGGGAGGGGACTATTTTACTTTCTAGTTTATATATTTCAGAATGTTTTTTTTTGGTAGATAATACATCCATTATTTATAATAATTTAAAAATACGCTTCAACTTTGATTCTATAATGTTAATTATTTTTAAAACATGAAGAAAAAAAGGAAGTTTCTGATACAAGAAACAAATCTCCCTGATTTGAAGGGGGCAGCAGAGTATATGGAAAGGGGTGGGCTTTGGAATCTTACAGACCTGGGTTCTAATTCCAGCTCAGCTGCTTCCTGCTCTTGTGACTTAGGGTAAGTTCCGTAATATTCTGAGTTTGTTTCTTCACAAGTAAAACAGGACTGATAATATACTTAAGGTTGTAAGAATTAAATAAATGTACTTGTCCTAATGCATAGTTCTCCCCCACATCTTATTTTGCAGTAATGCTGGGATGTTTCCCTAATCGAAAGCCTCAGCAATGATGAGATTTAGGGTCGCCATTGTACAAATACATGTAAACTGATCAAGGGTGAGAATACTAATCAGAATCTGTCTTAAAGAGCTTTACACCACAGAGGTCAAGTTATTTGTACTTTGCCTTGTTCCAGAAAGTATTTTAGGCAGATTTAAAAGAGTTTTGGAGGCCGGCTCCGTGGCTTAGCGGTTAAGTGCGCGTGCTCTGATGCTGGCGGCCCGGGTTCGGATCCCGGGCGCGCCCCGAGGCACCACTTCTCTGTCCAACGCGAGGCCGAGTCCCACGTACAGCAACTAGAAGGATGTGAACCTATGACATGCAGCTATCTACTGGGGCTTTGGGGGGAAAAAAATGAATAAATAAAATCTTTAAAAGAGTTTTGGGATAGAAGTATAGTGTAGGTTAAAAAGTGATGGCAAAAGAGAGTGAGAAAAATAGGTGGGGATAAAATGGGATGAATGAGGGCAAAAATGTTTTTACACGAGAGTGACACTTAAGCCTTCCAGCAGCCAGAAAAAGAACCTTTATATCACACAATGTGCATTGCTTATGAAATAAAAAACACTTATGATCATGGAAGAAATTAAAAGTAGATCAGAATGAAAAGAATCCTGCTGCTCTCTATCCAACACCCCCCCCCACACACACACACACACACAACGCCTCAGGCCTAGATGGTCACACAAGTGAAATTTTAAAAGCTTTAAAGGCACAGGCTTTGATTGTTTCAGAATATAGGAAAAGAAGGAAAGTTCCCATGTTTTTTAAAATGAAGCAAGTATACCTTCATAATAG